TTCACAGAGGTAACGCCCTGATTTGTTAAAGAAGCAGAAATTTCATCTTCTGTCATATCAGACAGACATTAAGCTCTATCCCGAACTATCCCTCTACATGAATTCAGTGATTTGTGCACCGAGACAACAACCTTGGTGTTAACAAACTCCTGGAGACCCAGCAGGTTAACAGATTGCTGTCTTCGAGCACATTCAACAAGCAATGAACCACTGCGAAGACGAGTTACATTCTTCATTTCGCCGCAGACACTTTGTATGCCCTTGGAAAGCGAAAGGATGATTTTCAATGGATTTCCATCAGAGAGAATATAGAACGATAAACTTTGGCCAAGATTTAGCAACATCTGGAGAAACTTCTTCATCAGAAGACAAATATTCTACATGGGAACGTTTATTTGTTTTCGAAGAACCAGAGTTTTGGTTTTCAGACATGGCGTACGAATAGTATTCAACACCCTCGATCCCCACCCGCCATCGAGTGCCAACATGGACGGTGTTGCAGAGGTAACCATCTACAAAACCAGGTCTACAAGGGTGTTATACTCCAGCAAATACAACGTGAATAGCCATATTTGCCTACCAAAAAAAACTGCCAGGCTGGTTCGGCCCATAACAGGTAATTGGAGATATACGGAATTCAGAGGTCGACATTACCAGATTGGCCAATGAGCCACCGCCTTCTGGCATAGGACTCTAGGCAATATAATTTTATTGGAAGAAAATCCGAAGCTTCAATTACTAGGAAACGAGCCCATGAATCAATGTTTGGCGAATTTGTTTCAGTAGAGTGATCAAGTTCGTCTAGTCGTCGCTTTTTCTCGTATCGAGATGAACCAGCTTGTTGGGATGCATCATGAAAGGAAAAGTATTCAGCACCCCTGCTCCCCACCCACCATGGAGTGTCAACAAGGACGGTATCAAAGAGCATCGGATATCTAAGATGCTGACACCAGGGATACAGGGGTGTTATACTCCAGAGACAACGACACAAATAGCTGTATTTATCTACCAATTCAATGTCAGGCTGGTTCGGCCCATGACAATAAATTGGAGACATACATCATTTGGAGGTCATTATCACCAGATTGGCCCATGAGCCACCGCCTTCTGGCATAGGACTCTAGGCAAGTTAACATAATAATAACTGTCCTGATAGACAAGCATGGGGTACTGACACCTATTCTACCCAAGAATATACGATACTATCTCTATGCAAAGTAAAATGTAAAACTTATAACGACACCTCAAATCACAAATGCATTAAGATTAAGTGAATCTTAACTGCCCAGCAGACCTACATTAACCGTAAAAGACACTTATTGTACTTCAAAGAGAAGACTGATTGAGCAGTGAAGCACACATGGAGGAAGAACCCGATGAGCATCAAGGAGTATGTATCTATCATGTGACCACACGTGGTGGGCTATCTTTACACACTGCTAACAAGGGATGGTGGTTCCCCGTCGGATGTGCCAACATCTTTATTACATCTTATCTGTATCAATAACACCAATTTAACACCATTTTACCCGTCCTGGACCATGACTGTAGAAAATATATATATTTATGAAGCCAAAACCAAGATTACAAAGTCGAGCCATCTCTAACGAATGCCTGTGGAAAATATGTAGAAAAACATAAACAATCTTGATTATGAAAAAGCAAGTCCAGCCAGGCTCTGTTGTGTGACTGAGGATTATAAGTATTTAAACAAAACAAAACCCATTCCAGATAAAACATTGAGGATAACAAAAATAACCACGGCCCAAAATAAGCAAATGTGCAAATAATAGATTCACCATGCACAGGGCTTGGCGTAACCAGCCGATTGATAGAAACCGGGCCAGTTCTACCACCCGTCTAGGTGAAGTAAGGGTGAAAGTGGTGTGTTGGGCAAAAGGAACATGGTTCCAGGCTCCCAGTGCCCTCAACCACCGGAATCCCGACCTCCACCGACACAGGGGCGCAACCCACGGCAAACGGGTTGGTGGACCAAATATACCCCCGGGTCCACAACGGGGTGTCGAAGAGCTCTTAGCGTTACCCAGCACCCACCACAAGGAGGTGGCACTTCACGGGGGCCAGGCACCCAATTAAGATTCATCAGTTACTCTCAGAACACATATGCAATGAACTCCATTCCATCTATTTTACATTACATTACCGACCCGCGAAGATCCGGGTCTTCAGCACCGGTGTTTGTCATAAGACATGACGAACATGATAGGGTAGTCAGACTCACTGTCTTGGTTGACACGTTCAATTGTATCCTAATCGATGCTCATTATACTGGTCACTGGATTGTCTGCTCCAGAATCGATTTTTTTACAGACCACCGTCATATAGCGGGAATATTGCTGATTGTGGCGTTAAACTACAAACAAATATAACAACGATGTAGCTTTAAAATTTTGTTGATTAACGTTTTAATGTTGTGTGAGTGATAACTGAATCTGCAGGGACATGTGCGTAGTCGTAACTGTATAGATAGTACCACGGTTGATCGATTGGGCTTCACACACTCGTGATGAGAACTATGGATTCGAAGAAGTGGTGCCTTTAACAGCTACATCTGTATCGGTGTCATCTCATTAACTACCTTACCGCATGAGGACGACACGACGTGACAGGAATAGTTCTGGGAAAAAGATGTTTCACCAACCAAACTCTCTCCAGCTTGGTCAAACTAGGGGGAACATCTGACAGATACTTTGACATAGCTCACATTAACATTGTCGATTGAAACCTATTCAACACTTTAATTTGATAATATTTTTGGAAAGACTTTGAGTAGGTGTCAGTTTGTACTAAACAGAAACTCAGTTAGTACCTTATCCCGAGAATAAACTTGACAACCAAACATCCATTCGAATCCGCATTTCCGCTCACTATTGGAACACAAGATCACTCATTCGGGAATTGCCATCTGACATGATTAATCATGATATTGCTCCAGGTTATAATACTCCATATGTCAAAATAGAAAATTAAAAACAACGAACTAGTAACTAAACAAACGGGACATTAATGTCAGCTCAGTTCAGTTCAGTTTAATCTCAGATAACCACGTTTGGCGGTACAAGAGAAAGTCAACCAGAATTCATTTAAATACATATAAACAAACATAACAAAATGACAGGTAGAACAGTTCAAAATGAAACATAATAATGCCGGCAATTTAGAGCTATTAAATGATTTGTTGTCTAAAGAACGAGCAAATTGATAAAGTACAGATTTATCATTTTTCCCTATAAGTTGATCTAATACTAGCAGATATTTGGATAGATTTCGTATTTCTTTTGAACTTCTACTACTTAATATTTTCTTCAATGTTGACAAATTGTGGAAGTACATATATCTAGTAGCACACAGACACGGACACGGCGCCACAGTTTAATTCCTGCTGGCTTATTCAATTAAAATATACAGATAACTGAAAATATTCAAATAGTTTTCATCATCTCAACATGTCACAAAAGGGGAAAAATCTGTTAAAGTTAGTTTTCTATAATGAATTTTTTGCCGAACTATATTTGTAGAAATTAAAGAACCTGGTCGCACAAGAGATGGTCGCACACCGAGATCGCTGGCATCATTCCTCGATAATAGCCGTTTCTTTAAGAAACATATACTCGTGTCTTACCGCTTTGCTCGCTGTTGCAAAAGAATTGAGAAATTTCCACGTTGATTAGAAAGTTGAAATGATGCGACACCCAATGGACGTATCATTAAAGGAGATATCTAAAAGAAAATGTGTCTTTAATGAGATTGCATCCTTTTGGGCTTTCCACCAACATTGAGCTGACACCTCATCATAGAACTGGAACACTCTTCAAACACACATTTAACAGATTTCCTAACACAGGGTTTTTCGGCGTGGATGGATGATTGAATTCGCTCTGGATAAATGATGTATTTAATTACTGTTCCGCCCTGTCAGCTGGTAATGTTGATAAAGTAAACTGCACACAATACATTCATTAACCATCATATGTTGTGCTGCATTCAGGGAGATGCTTGCTAAAGTGGATAGGGTCGGGAGACTCGGTGGACAGTGTTAAATGCTGTCCATGCTTTGTGTCAGTCATCTTCCATTTCCTGACTCGATCACTGACCATCCACCTCAATACAGATGTAATACTGCGGACTTAAATACCATGCACTTCATATGCATTTTTATAAAAATATCTTTGACTTATACACCAAACAGAGTGATGTTTTTAAATATATTTTGACGCTTTTTTCTTTAACATGGCGGCAATTGTTTCATTGTTTTTTAAAGATGTTCGGAGAGTGTCCCCAACCACAAGAAACATTATAAGACATGGGTTGCTGTACCCTCGATGTTTGTTTATGCTCCCATCATGGGTACATCAACCCATGAGCATCGAGGGACCAGTGAACAACGTATTTATCTTACCGAACACCTCAATGTTAACTTCGAATGGTTTCAAACATGTTTATTGGATCATAATAAGGTGTACCGAAGTCAGGCAACATCACAAACACTACTAACGCGAAGTACCAAACGAATTCCCACAGTTCGGAATTCGACAACCTCCCGCTGCCCTACTGTACAACCTCCCGCTGTCGTATTATGCAACCTCCCGCTGTCCTATTGTACAACCTCCTGCTGTCCTACTGTACAACCTCCCGCTGCCCTACTGTACAACCTCCCGCTGTACTATTGTACAACCTCCCGTTGCCCTACTGTACAACCTCCCTCTGCCCTGCTGTACAACCTCCCGCTGTCCTACTGTACAACCTCCCGCTGCCCTACTGTACAACCTCCCGCTGTCCTACTGTACAATCTCCTTCTGCCCTACTGTACAACCTCCCGCTGCCGTACTGTACAGGTCCCCATGGTGCTACTGTACAACCTCCCGCTGCCCTACTGTACAACATCCCAGTGCCCTACTGTACAACCTCCCGCTCTCTTACTGTACAACCTCCCGCTGCCCTACTGTACAACTTCCCGCTGCCCTATTGAACAGGTCCCCATGGTGCTACTGTACAACCTCCCGCTGCCCTACTGTACAACCTCCTACTGTACAACCCCCTCTGTCCTACTGTACAACCTCCCGCTGCCCTATTGTACAGGTCCCCATGGTGCTACTGTACAACCTCTCGCTGCCCTACTGTACAACCCCCTCTGTCTTACTGTACAACCTCCCGCTGCCCTATTGTACAACCTCCCGCTGCCCTTTTGTACAACCTCCTGCTGTCCTACTGTACAACCTCCCGCTGCCCTACTGTACAACCTCCCGCTGTCCTACTGTACAATCTCCTTCTGCCCTACTGTACAACCTCCCGCTGCCGTACTGTACAGGTCCCCATGGTGCTACTGTACAACCTCCCGCTGCCCTACTGTACAACATCCCAGTGCCCTACTGTACAACCTCCCGCTCTCTTACTGTACAACTTCCCGCTGCCCTATTGAACAGGTCCCCATGGTGCTACTGTACAACCTCCCGCTGCCCTACTGTACAACCTCCTACTGTACAACCCCCTCTGTCCTACTGTACAACCTCCCGCTGCCCTATTGTACAACCTCCAGCTGCCCTATTGTACAGGTCCCCATGGTGCTACTGTACAACCTCTCGCTGCCCTACTGTACAACCTCCCGCTGTCCTACTGTACAACCTCCCGCTGACCTACTGTACAACCCCCTCTGTCTTACTGTACAACCTCCCGCTGCCCTATTGTACAACCTCCCGCTGCCCTTTTGTACAACCTCCTGCTGCCCTACTGTACAACCTCCCGCTGCCCTACTGTACAACCTCCTGCTGTCCTACTGTACAACCTCCTGCTGCCCAACCTCCTGCTGTCCCAACCTCCTTCTGCCCTACTGTACAACCTCCCGCTGTCCAACCTCCCGCTGCCCTACTGTACAACCTCCCGCTGCCCTACTGTACAGGTCCCCATGGTGCTACTGTACAACCTCCCTCTGCCCTACTGTACAGGTCCCCATGGTGCTACTGTACAACCTCCTGCTGTCCTACTGTACAACCTCCGCTGCCCTACTGTACAACCTCCCGCTGTCTTACTGTACAACCTCCCGCTGCCCTACTGTACAACTTCCCGCTGCCCTATTGTGCTACTGTACAACCTCCCTCTGTCCTACTGTACAACCTCCGCTGCCCTACTGTACAACCTCCCGCTGCCCTACTGTACAACCTCCCAGCTGCCCTACTGTACAACCTCCCGCTGTCTTACTGTACAACCTCCCGCTGCCCTACTGTACAACTTCCCGCTGCCCTATTGTACAGGTACCCATGGTGCTACTGTACAACCTCCCGCTGCCCTACTGTACAACCTCCTACTGTACAATCCCCTCTGTCCTACTGTACAACCTCCCGCTGCCCTATTGTACAACCTCCCGCTGCCCTATTGTACAGGTCCCCATGGTGCTACTGTACAACCTCCCTCTGCCCTACTGTACAACCTCCCGCTGTCCTACTGTACAACCTCCCGCTGTCCTACTGTACAACCCCTTCTGTCTTACTGTACAACCTCCCGCTGCCCTATTGTACAACCTCCCGCTGCCCTTTTGTACAACCTCCTGCTGGCCTACTGTACAACCTCCCGCTGCCCTACTGTACAACCTCCCGCTGCCCTACTGTACAACCTCCCGCTGTCCTACTGTACAACCTCCTTCTGTCCTGCTGTGTACAACCTCCTGTCTGTCCAACCTCCTGTACTCCCTCTGTCCAACCTCCCGCTGCCCTACTGTACAGGTCCCCATGGTGCTACTGTACAACCTCCTGCTGCCCTACTGTACAGGTCCCCATGGTGCTACTGTACAACTTCCCTCTGTCCTACTGTACAACCTCCGCTGCCCTACTGTACAACCTCCCGCTGCCCTACTGTACAACCTCCCGCTGTCCTACTGTACAACCTCCCGCTGTCCTACTGTACAACCTCCCGCTGTCCTACAGTACAACCTCCTGCTGTCCTCCCCCTCCCGCTGTCCTACAGTACAACCTCCCGCTGTCCTACAGTACAACCTCCCGCTGTCCTACTGTACAACCTCCCGCTGCCGTACTGTACAGGTCCCGATGCTTCTACTGTACAACCTCCCTCTGTCCTACCGTACAACATCCCGCTGCCCTACTGTACAACCTCCCGCTGTCCTATTGTACAGGTCCCCATGGTGCTACTGTACAAGTCCCCACTTTCCTACTGCAAACTTATAGTGTTTTACCGGCAGACTAACAGAAGCCGACTTTTCCCCTTTTGGAAATGATCATGGGGATCAATATTGATTCATAGTACCTTTCTTTATAAAAAATAAATGTGACAATCAATGGAACAGATATTAAGGTGATAACATTGTTCCTTTTTGAGTTTACCTGAAACTACCATACTCGTTTCTCAACTCTAACCTATAGACACACAATGTTATACCAAATGTCTAATAGAAATACATCAGTGAGTATCTTTATCCTGTGAACATATTCAATGATTGTATATTCACAAGATTTACTACAGTAGTGGGACAGAGCAAGTCGGGAAAATAGCATTCACCACATAATCAACACATTGGTTAATAAGTTCAGGTAGTGAAGTGTTGTGCCACGCATATGCAACAAACTTAAAACCGAGAAATAGCAGATGTGTATGTAATAACATTCTGCCATTCCAGATTTACGAACCGCATAATAACATCATATGTACTTACATAGCTATGTCGGCTTCTGTCCTCTAACAGCGGTTCCATCAACCAGCGAAGGTTCCATCTGAGCTACATAACAAAACTGCCACCGGCGCGTTCCGAGTACTGCACTGCAGCGTTGTAGTGGGTTCGCCAGTCGCCAGTGTTGTCACGGAGCTTTATGTGCCATAGAGTCACGTTGAGGGAGGATATTAGGGATAGTGCTTAGGAAACCTCTTCACTATTCGATAATAGAATACCAATCCACATAATAATACGTTGTACTTGTATGACATTATTGTTGGAAGAGTAATGAATATCGTTGATGGTAATATCCGTTCTTAAGCGTTGTGGCGTGCCCTGCTCCCAGATTTAATTGAGTTGTTTGTTTCCGGGTAGATCTAACGTGATCGAATACGTCATAACAACATAAACGCTCCTATTCTAAAACTAAATTACTTGTAGTCCTGTTGTTTAATGGAAGATTTTTGACAAAATGCTGAGACAATCTCTCCCCGAAATATGTGATATACAGAAATACATCTGGCGCATTTACAGTTCATTTGGATAGAGTTATTGAAACATTCATCGCATTACAATAAGGGATCATGGTTGGATCTTCCTAATGCAATGAGCTCCCCTTCGCCCAGGAGCCTGATAAACTTTCCTTTCCTTTCGTTTTTGTTGTTGATCGAAACTTCGAGTGATCTTAAAACATGAGCATGTAAGTCCCAATTCATTGAAAGGATTCTTCATAACACGTGTTTTTAATAGTAGAATATGTGTTATTTTAAGTATGGCTAATTTTTACTACAATCGCCAATGGCTGAAGGTGATGATATAAATCCAGCTAAGGTCCATGCAGGTAGCAAAGGTACTGTAAGTCCTCATGGTCCTTAGTATGGTGTGCGGCCGCGAAGAGCCACCTCCTCGTGGTGGGTGCTGGGTAACGCTAAGCGCTCTTCAACCCCTTCCTTGATAAATGTTTGGTGAAAATTACTGATTAGTTAATTTTGAAGATTAAAACCTGTCGACGATGGACAGTAAAAATACTAGATAATCACAGATATAATAAACTAGCGAACAAAGCTAAAACATTCCAACAACTGAAGGTAGATCACCAAACTAGGAAGCAAGGGGACTTACATTTCTTTTGCTACCTGCATTGATCCTAGCTGGATTTACACGATCCCTTCAGCCGCTGGCGATTGTAGGATAATTTAGCCGAAATTTAAAAGAACAAAAATACTACGTTTAAAAACTTGGTACGGGAAAATTTCACTTTGAAAGTTTTGGTACTTACGTGCCCTCTCAGAAGGACAATAATTTTACGCTACTTCAACCCCCTTTGAGGATACAGCCACTAACAATCGAAGTTAATAATCTGAACTACCAATTATAAAACTGTATCTATTTACAAAACATATATCAAAATTCAGTTAACAAATCTATCTCTTCTAAAAAATCAATGATTAAACGATAATTAACTTTATTAAAAAGGTCCTTTACTGTTTTGATATTGAAGTATATATCCTTTAAGATGGAGAATTCAACACAGTCAAGCAGGACATGCTTGACCGTGGTTCTCTCATCACAAGGGATACAAAACGGAGGATCCTCACCTTTCAATAGGTATGCATGAGTATATCTTGTGTGGCAAATACGACATCGTCGCGTAATGACCTCCTCAAATCTGGACTGACAACCCAAGTGAGTGTAACCAATATAAGGTTTTATTTCATGTAATTTATTGATACCTACTTGGGTATCCCACTTCTTCCGCATCAGATCACGGATGTAAGTTCTAATGCAAGATTTGTAATCAGAGTAAGGAAGAAGAAGTGGTGTCACAGACTTGTTAAGTGCTGCCTTGGCAGCAAGATCAGCCATTGTGTTCCCAGAAATGCCAACGTGGCTGGGTAACAAACAAAAGACGATGTCGCATTGGCCAGTAGCCAGCTCATTATACAATTCAATAATTTCTAATAAAAGTGGATGTTTACAAGAAAGATTTTTAATAGCCTGAAGACACGAAAGAGAATCGGAAAAGACTACATATTTTTTATATTTACGGTGTTTATTAATATATTTAAGAGCTGTTAAGATGGCGTTAGCTTCTGCTGTGAATTAGAGCTGTTATTTGGTAGTCGAGAAGATATTTTTCTGGATCAAATGACAGTGGCACATGCCACCGCGCCACCACCCTTGGACCCATCTGTAAATAAGGATTTGTATGTATTATATTTGATTTTTAATTGATAATATTCTTGTTTATACTGTAATTCATTAGTTTCTGATTTCTTAAACTTTGTCAGAGTTAGGTCTACTTCAGGCCTCACCAGTTGCCAAGGAGGAGAAGAAAGAAGACGGGAAGGAGATATATTTTCCAGCTCAATGCCGGCAGCAGAAATGAATGGTTTAATTCTTAGCCCAAGAGGCAGAACAAGAGAAGGCTTTTTGTTGTATAAATCCTCATAAAGAGGATTGAAAACACAGTTAAATGCAGGATTAGAACTCGTTAGAATAGAGTTTTGTTATATACTGTAAAGATATACTGAGTCAAAAAAGAAACTTCACAAAATGTAATTTGAAAAATAATGAATAACTTTTCTCTGATGATACATCTATGTATCCGAAATGGGATCCCTATCTTTCGACTCTAGAAAAAACGTTAGCGAAACCCACTCAAACCCATCCATTCGTCGTGCAAATGACGTTAGTGCCAAATCAGGTTTTGCACGTGCAGTCGATCACGTGATCTTCGCATCGAAGTTTTCTTCATTGGCCTGCATTGGCCTCTAGAATTGAAAAAACACTTTTAAACCACAGTTCTAACGGTACTTGAAATGCCACGATTGTCAAATGTGCAACGTGAACGTGCCGTTGGCATGCTGCAAGCGGGAAGATCAGTTATTGACGTTGCAAGAGCAATGGGATGCAGCCGTCGTACTGTGTATGACTTGCGAGGTCGTCTACAACAAACTGGCACCACTTCTGATCGCCCAAGGTCGGGTCGTCCACGTGTGACGTCACGAGCAGAAGACCGTCAAATCGTCCTACGTCACCTACGTGACAGATTTCTGCCGGCTACACGAACCAGGGCTGAGATGTTTAGAGGTCGACTGTCCTCACAGCTTATTCGAAATCGGTTGCGGGCTGCCAATCTCCATTCTCGACGTCCATATCGTGGGCCAATATTGACGCTGTTTCATCAACGTCAACGTCTGCTGTGGGCCCAACGTCACCTCCGATGGACCCAGAGAGACTGGAATCGAGTCGTCTTTAGCGATGAATCCAAGTTTACCCTCAGATTCGCGGACGGCAGGCATATAGTCTGGAGACGACGTCGTGAACGGTATGCCCAATATTGTGTACAGGAAGTCGACAGATTCGGGGGCGGAAGTTGCATGGTGTGGGGTGCTTTCTGTGGGAACAACCGTTCCCGACTTCTGGTCATCCGTGGAAACCTCACAGCTGCTGCTTACCGCGACCAGGTGCTCACCCCTGAACTCGTTCCTTTCATGGCGGCTCATGGCCCAGGTCTACAGTTCAAGCATGATAATGCTCGGCCGCATACCACGATGTTGACACGAAATTTCCTTCAAAACGCTGGAATCAACGTCATGGACTGGCCATCGAGGTCCCCTGACCTTTATCCAATAGAGCACGTTTGGGATGCACTTGGGAGAAGGCTTCGTGGTCTTAGGAACCAACCTCAGAATTTGCAGGAACTTGGCGCTGCCTTGCAAGAGCAATGGCGCAGAATCCCCAACCACGTGTTCACAAGCATCAGGCAGTCGATGAGGAGACGGTGTTTGGCAGTGGTGAATGCGCGGGGCGGCCATACACGATATTGAACTGAGAAATTTCGCATTTTTATTCTTGTGACTTGACATTCTGTATACCCATGTTTTGGAACGGCGGTGTGGCCTAATGGAACTGATTATGGCACTGTCAGTGTATCGAGTACATCACACAGATCTCAGCAATGAAATAATAACAATTTAACCATCGTACCATCTCTTGTTCTTTTATAGTGCCCTGAAGAAAGAATGTGAAGTTTCTTTTTTTGACTCAGTATACGACGTTGGTTAAGGGACTATCAATAGGAGAGGTTCTAAGAAAACCAAGACAAAGTCTTAGGTCTTGTTGGCGGACAGAATCAAGTAGTTTTAGGTTGCTTTTGCAGGCTCCACCATATACGATGGAGCCATAATCAAGTTTCGAGGGTAGCTTGATCCCCTCCCCACTTTGAGTTGGAAACAACTTTCAACAAATCAAGGGCCTTCATGCATTTAGCTTTAAGGGATTTAATATGTGGCAAAAAAGTTAAATGAGAGTCGAAAATTAGACCCAAGAACTTGACCTCCTTGACAACCTTGATTGGAGTGCCATTTAAAGATAGTTCCGGGTCTTTATGCGGCTTATACTTTCTACAAAAGTGTAGACAATTGGTTTTAGACTTGGAAAATTTAAAGCCGTTTTCAAGACACCATTTATTTATTTTATTTAAACACAACTGCAATTGCCGTTCAATAGTATGCATATTTTTACCACGAGAAGAAATATTGAAATCATCCACAAATAATGATCCATCAATTGAATCATTTAAAATCGTTGATAAACTATTGATCTTGATACTAAACAGTGTGACAGACAAAATATTGCCTTGTGGGACACCCTGATCCTGATTATAATGATCAGACAGGGTTGAACCCACTCGGACTTGAAATTGCCTGTCTTTTAAAAACTGTGATATAAATAGAGGCAAACGGCCTCTCAAACCAAAATCATGTAAATCCTTCAAAATGCCATGCTTCAAGGTCGTATCATAAGCTTTCTCAAGATCAAAGAAAATTGATACAGCATGTTGTGTATTTACAATAGCTTTTTTAACAAAGGATTCCAAGCGTACCAAATGATCAATTGTACTACGATTTTTCCTGAAACCACATTGAATATTTGTTGAAAGGTTGTTGGTTTCAAGATACCAAGTGAATCTATTATTCACCTTACGTTTCATGGTTTTACAGACACAGCTAGTTAGAGATATCGGTCTGTAATTAGACGGATCTGTGTGAACCCTGCAAGGTTTTGGTATTGGGACTACAATGGCATTACGCCACGAAGGAGGAAATATATCTA